AGAAAAGCTAAATAGGACCTGGCTTATTTATTCAGAGTCTAGCGACTCCAGTATTTTATTTTTGCTGCAAATTATTTAAAAAAGATATATCTTCTCTCTCTAAGCAAGGTAACAGAGACTGTAAAAAAATATCTCAAATACTAAAACGCCATGAAAACTTTCCAAATCATTAATTTGAGTATGAAGTTTTGAAAATCCTTCAGACTCGAATGATGCAAGGAAAACTATCGACGTTGAAAACCAAGCTTTAATTCAAACAAAACACTGGAAGGCCGTCATTGAAAGAATTATATCTCTTATTCAAACTTTGGGAATGCAAAATTTAGCTTTACAAGGCAGTTCTGATAAATTATAATATGAATTTGACAATGGGAATTAGTATAACAATACAAATTGCACTAAACAATTTAATAGCCAGTCTTTTGGTTTCATATAAAATAATAAACAATTTACAAAATTAAAATTAATATTGAATAAAATAATATTACAATTTAGGTACTCTTCTTAGGTTTAAAAGATGAAACATGCTCTAAACTGTCATGAAATGGATGTGTGTCTGGTGGAAGAAATTGTTTGAGTTTTTGAAGGTCTTGATATTTTGATAAAGTGATACTTAATGGTTTTTTATAGTAAATTATTTATAAAGATCTTCTTAACAATGTTATGTTATGTTGTTGTGGTATACAGGGTGTATCTTATGTCATTGTACGCGGGGTTTTTTGACGATTACGGAATGATGATATGGAATTTCGTTAAAACGAAAAAAGACGTGTTTCTTTATTTTTAACAAGCAATTTTTTTATAACAATTTCAAAATTTTTAAACACACAGGTGTACCAATAGCAAAATCAACTTTTTTTTTTCAAATGGTAACCACTATATTTTTTAATGGATTCTGGTAAAGCTTTTTTTTCTGAACATTTTGGTAGTCGAATCGTCAATTTTGGTTCTCTAGTTTATTAACTATGGTCCTCCAAAGATAAGTAAAATATGCATTAATACTTTTAATTAAAATAATGGGTATAGGTTTAATTTACAAGCGCTAAACAATTTTTTCTTATAACTACCATTAGATAAACTACAATAGTTGAATCGGTAATCTAATGCACCCTCAAAAAAAAAAAAAAAAAATAACAAACATAATTGTTTGTAAACATACTTCATTTTTTTTATTTTAACATACGATCATAAAAATCAATATTATTATTTTAATTTATTTTTATAATCGTAATTAATTACTTTATATTTTTTTCATCACAGTTACTTTTCTGACAATATCATAAATTTGAATTCTTAATTAGGTAGGTGGCTAAGGTAATAATGGTAAATTGGTAAATGGTATTCGATTGTTGACATTAATAATATGTGCAACGAAAAAAGTGGAATGTTTTGTGGTGCTCTTTTCGTAGTGGTATAAAGTATAAACTTGATATTTTAACCATAGATTCCCTATAATGGTATCACATTCAAAGTATGAACTTAGGAGTTGTAATTCATCCCTTTCGATCCTTTTTAGTTTTGGATATTATAATAATATTGATTTTTATGATTGTATGTTAAAATACAAATAATGAAGTATGATGTTTACAAACAATTATGCTTGTTATTTATTTTTTTTTTTTGAGGGTGTCATTAGATTACCGATTCAACTATTGTACTATTGTAGTGTATCAAATGGTAGTTATAAGAAAAAATTGTTTAGCGCTTGTAAATTAAACCTATACCCATTATTTTAATTAAAAGTATTAATGCATATTTTACTTATCTTTGGAGGACCATAGTTAATAAACTAGCGAACCAAAATTGACGATTCGACTACCAAAATGTTCAGAAAAAAAAGCTTTACCAGAATCCATTAAAAAATATAGTGGTTAATATTTAAAAAAAAAAGTTGATTTTGCTATTGGTACACCTGTGTGTTTAAAAATTTTGAAATTGTTATAAAAAAATTGCTTGTTAAAAATAAAGAAACACGTCTTTTTTCGTTTTAACGAAATTCCATATCATCGTTCTGTAATCGTCAAAAAACACCGCGTACAATGACATAAGATACACCCTGTATAATATATATATAGATAATACTATAGCTATAATATGAACTGCAACATCAGAGATAATAATGTGTCATCGCGTATTTGCTTCCCTTATAAACATAACTATACTCTGATCACAATAAGACCCTGACGAGTTGTTCGCATGGGCGTGGCTTTGTTCCGTAGCAGAGCCCGACGCGTCGCCGTAGTGCGGACGGCTTCTGACCGCCGCCGGAAGAAAACTGGTCTCCGCCGGGTCAAGGTCTTATTGTGAACAGAGTATAGATATACTTAAATTACAGTGTGTGCAATCATATGTACCTAACTAATTATGTGTATTGTTTAATTTCAACAGGTATGCTCATTTGAACGGGTGCTAGTGGAGGAAAAAATTGATTAGCGAGAAGGCGTGTTTGATCTTTGAACGTCAAAACGGTTGCCCGTGGGCCAAACTACCTGTAGAAACGCGGCGTTAAATAGCCATCTGAAAATCATCATGTACGCGAATTCCCATGGTTGCGCGTGGGATTCAGATACATGCAGCAACGCCGAGTTGAAAAACCAAAGGGAGTGTTTGGTTTACAAAAATTAAGTAATGTTAAAGGAATTAATGATTTTCAAAAAACAAAGTGCTTTAAAAACAGTCGAATTGTAAATCCAAAAAATCGTATGTGTAGTGAAAACTGGTTTTATATTTTGCTAATTATTTAATTTTTTAATATTCGTTCATCAACCATCTTGGTTCACCTTTCGACTACAGGTCGTAGCAGTCAATTATTACCTCTTCCTCACCCAAAAACAGTACGTCAGCTACTCTCATGTATAAAAACAACTTGTGGTTTTGATGAAGAATTGTTGTCACTTTTGGCTAAGAAAGTACAACACTAGTCTTCTAGAGAAAAGCATGGTGTTCTGTTCTTTGATGAAATCAGTCTCCGTAAAAGCTTACAAGCACATTTATCAAATTTATCTCTGGACTTGAAGATTACGGCGACAATGCAACCTGCCATAAAGAGCAGACCACGCTTTGGTCTTCAAGTGGAAATCGTTAGGTTCAAATTTCAATCTAACTATTGGAATTTTTTCTTCCAAAGGAGATGTCAAAGGTAGGATATAATCAAAATAGTTTGATACCTATATTTAAGTATAAAAGGATTATTAATAATTTTTTAAATAAATTAGTTAGGTACTATGTTGGCTCAACTTGTGTTAAAAGCCATAAATTTAATAGAGAGCACCGGTATACTAGTCGAAAGCATTATCTATACCAAAGAAATACGTTGATATGGTAAAACTCTGCAATGCCAAGACCGTGTGTAAAGTAAAATATCTAGAATAGCTATCATTGGAATTCGAAATTAATTCAGGGTTACGGCAAGGCGATGCCTTGTCCCCGATACTATATAATATAGGTTTGGAGAAGGTCATAAGAGAATTAACCCAGAGACAAAAGGTGGAGATAGTAGGCAATGAATCGATATTAGCGTACGCGGACGACATAATCATATTAGGTAACACAAGACAAGAAATTACACGAACTACATCTGAATTGTTGGAAGTTAGTAAAAAGATGGGGTTGTGCGTAAATCAAGAGAAGACTAAATGTATGGTTATCTCTAGAAGCAACGTAAATCAACATAACTTACAAGTAGGTAATTTAACGATTGAAAAAGTGGAAAACTTCAAGTACCTAGGAGTGAACATAAATAGTAAAAATGATATGCGCCGATAAATAAGTGAAAGAATAGCTAGTGGGAACCGGTGATATCACAGTATAAGTAAGCTACTAAAGTCCAAATAACTGTCGAGAAAATCAAAATGTTGGCTCTATACAAGCTATCTGAGACCAGTAATCACATATGCATGTGAGACATGGTCCTCAACGAAAGGCGATGACAACAGATTGGCAATATTCGAACTAAAGGTACTTAGAAACATTTTTGGCTCAATATATTATAATACAGAGTTAGGAATTTTCGAGAGAAGAAAGAATGACGAACTATACAGACTATATTTAAAACCCAAAGTTATATAAAAATTAAGAGAATGGAATGGTTTAGACATGTATGGAGAGCTGATAATTATAGTATCATAAGAAAAGTTCCGTTGAAAAGTGCTCCTAGAAGAGTCAGGGAAATAATACTAAGAGCCATTGTATTGATGATAAAAAGCTAGTCATTAACTGATATTCGCGCTATGTTGCTTACATTGTTTGTTGTTTTAACTAACGAGACTGATGGTATTAATATTAACACGCAAATAGAAAAAGCATGTGAGCATCATAAAAATAAATTACTCCAAGCTATCTCATCATGGTAAGACATTTTAATTTTTTTTCAGTATTTACTATCTACTAATTTGTTTACATAATATCAATAATTAATGTAACAATGTAAGAATAAATACCTACATTTACATATTTAACCGATACTCTTATAATATTATAAAGTTATAATATTTTATAAAAAAAACAAAATTATTCTCATAGAATGTGTGTTAAACGTTGGTCAATAATTCATCAGAAACAAATTTTTTCTAAATAACATTCAACATCCTAATTTTAATTTACTTTTCTTATTTTTATGAACCAAAAATTATAATATTTAAAACATATAAATAATATAAATAGATACAGGCTTATAAATGTATTTCCTTTTAAAGATTTCTAAATGAAATTTATATTTTCAAATTAATGATGATTTTGTAGATTCTCAAGATGTTTTTATTAATATATTGGCTTTTAATGATGATGAAGACCAGACACGAACAATGTTGGAAGAGGCTTATGAAATTCAAAATGAAGGGTTGAATTATTTTGAAAACCCATTTCAAGCTTGGACCAACTTGGTTTAAAATGAAAGTAAAAATTTAATAGAAGAAGGAACTGGCATAAATCCATTTTATTGTCCATCATTGGTACCCATACTTATAAAGTATTTTAAACTTCTTCCTTTGTGGTCTGGAGCTATGATTCCTATTTTTAGATTTGGGGAGGAAGTAGCTTCATCGGCGGCTGTAGAGTCTAGTTTCAAAAAGTTAAAAACATTGACATTCAAAAATATATCATTGCCGACAAATCTTGAAATATTTTTAGAAAATCATATAAACTCATTAAAAGGAACATCACTCATTCGTACAAATACTTATTCAAATGCAAATCCAAGTTCACCTGAACGGCCAGAAATAAACGACAATTAAAATAATTTACAATTAATTAATACAATGCCAAATACACAGACAGATTCTGCCAATGTGACTTTGTCAAATTCACCAGAGCAACAAAATCAATATTATATTTATCAAGATGATATAGAACTATTTAATGCCACAGAAAATACACCAGGACTTCACCAATGTCCTCTTTGCAAAATATATAAATATCTTGTTTAACTAATACCTTTATTTAGATAATAGGTGTTTTTCCGTCCTAAACTGGAGCACATAAATGTATAAAATGTAGAATTCCAGTACATGCATTATCTACATGTTCAAATCATGAAGTAGGTGATGAAACTAAAAGAATTTGCTTTTCATGTTTTGAAGATTAAAATAACAATTTAGACGAGGAGTCATTAGCACGTGAAAGCTGGAATCGGAAACCAAAAAACCAAAGGAAAACAAATTCATATCTATTGCCAAATTCTCATTTGAGACACATTCATTTAAATAACTCAAAAAATATTAAATCCTTACTACTCTTAAAGAATGGATCAAGAGCAGAAGAGTTAAAAGCTATCATAGTAAAAGATATTGGTAAAGTTGCTTTAACAAATACTTGTGCATTTGACACAATTGCATCAATATTTACTGTGGCTTACTGTGATAGTATATTATATTCTAATGAAATTGATAATATTTTGAATTCCTCTGATTTTTTTTGTTTCATTTCCAATATGGTTAAATGTGGTATAACAGCCTCAACATATTCACAGAGGGCCAACATTATTTTAGACAAACTGAATCCTGATATTCAAAAATTAAGCAACATTAATTTAGTAGTTTCCGATTCAACTGCAGCAAATGCATTTCATGGACTGTTAATTGGTTTACCTTCAGATGAAGATATTGCAACATGCTCAAATAAAAAATGTTCAAACAATAAAAAGATGTCTGTGATGTATCTAACGTATAATACTACAAGAGATTTGAGTGACCTACAAATCTATGTTTCATCAAGAATTAACACAGAAAATTCAATTTGTGGATATACAGACGGAAATAATATATGTCAAGAAATTAAAACAAGAACAACCATTACATCAAATGTACACCTTATAATCGAAATTCTTAAATGGGATGAAGGTTGGAATAAAAAAATACTAATATAATAATTTAAAATGTTAATAAGTATATCATATATTTGTTTATTTTAGGTGGTAATAATATTGATCACAGTACAGAAGCTGCTCCACACATTAAATTACAGTTAAATTGCATACCTGAGATTATTGTGTGTTCAGAAAAAAAGTTTGAGTTGAGAGGAGTTGGGTGTTAGCGCAGTGGTCTTAGTAGATGAGGAAGCTGTTGGACATTACTTTTCAGTACTTATGCAAATGACGACAAAATTACTGGGAAATGATGGACGATTTGAAAAAGAAAACAAAAGCGGTAAAATCAAACACAACTATTCCCTGTGAATTTTTGATTTACACAATATAAATAAACATCAAGATAAAAATACATTTATTCAACTAAAATTTTTTTATTAAAATGAGATTTTTAGATTTTTTTTATTCAACTATGCTTTTTTATTAAAATTATATTTTCTACTATAGATTTTTTTATTCAACTTTTATTGAATTTTTTTTTTTATTAAAAATAGATATAAAAGAAAAAATTAGATTAAAAGGATGTTTCTTATTTCTTTTATATTTAAAAATTATTTTTTAATTGTTAATATTTATTAAATTAAGGTTTTTTAAACATATTTTTTATTACAGACTTTGTTAAAATTAGATTTTTAGATTTGTTTATTTAACCAAGTTTTTTTTCTTATTAGATTTTAGATTCTGAGTGAAACGATGAATGTATTGATTTTACAATGATGTGTGTTTTTTTTTTTATTTTTTTTTTTTTTGTGTCTGTGTACACGATAAGTAGTCGAAATAATGCTTCGATTTTCGACTTCAGTATCTTGTTCGATTGGAAAGTGAATATCGTTGGTGCATTGGGGAGGTCAAAATTTAAAATTCCCAGTACTTTTCAAAAGCGCCAAGAAAAACAAAAGAAAAATTAAGGAAAAACGGGAATTTTTACGCAAAATCGATTTTTCAGAAAATTGAATTTGGTTTTTGGTGTAACTTTAAAACAAATGACCGTAGATACATGAAATTTTCACTGGTTGTTTATATTTGCATTTTCTAAAGACCTAAATGCCTAAAGAAAGAAAAATTGGTTTTTTATTCAATGAGGTTTTGTTATATTCTTATAATATTTTTTATTACATACTTTTTTTATTAAATATAGATAAGTAAAAAAATAGATTAAAATGATGTTTCTTTATTTTTAATACCTATTTAAAAATTATTCTTTTATTATTTAATAATAATTTATCGTTTCTTTGTTATTAGATGTCGTACTAATTTAGAAATAATAAAGCTAAATAAATAAATAAATATTAAAAAATAATAATATAAATTTAAATTAATAAAAAAAAAAAACTAATTAAAAGAAAAATATGTATTAATTAAACAAAAGAGTACCTATAGAGTATAGGTACTTTAGTACTTACACAAATTTAAGGTACCTACATAAATAATATTAACATTTGTCTATTATATTCTCTTCTGCCATTACTTATTTTATAGTTAAATTTGAGTTTGAGACCTATGATCTACAAATTGGCAAATTAATAAACACTTCTTAATAAGTACATTTTCTTTAACATAACTATGTGCAACAAAAAAACTCAATAGCTACTTTTACTTTTAAGATGTACCTATAATAACATTATAATGTGTAAAGGTTGTGAAATGTTTTTGTACATTTAATGAAAATAGTGGTTGAGTGATTGTGCAGGTAAGTATGTAATATAATAATTCATTAATTCATTATTTACCTAATTAGTTAACTATATAGTTTAAGAGTAGGCACCTATCTAATAGGTAGTATGTATCATGTATACAATGTATCTATGATTTAAAAGTTTTATTATAAATTAAAGAAATACTACAGCACCACAACAAAGACAGCTTACACAGTTACACGTTAGCTGGTGTAAATAATGGCCATAGCCTATTTTGACCAGTTTTATGAGTTTGAATGCTGGATGAAAAACAAGAAGTATTAAAGTATAAGTAAATAATATTTTGTTATTTATATTTGTACATTTATAAGTCTGTCTGTATTTATAATTTCTGTCAACTCTACTAATAGTAATATTAATAGTTTGAACTAAAGAATGACCAGCTATTTTGCCAGCTTAGTGCATTTTGTGGACGATATTAACATATTTAACAAAATATTCTCAAACATCTTTAGCATTTAAAGGAGTATTTCCAACGCCTCTTCTCTCTCCTATTCCTTTAATGTTGCAATTTTCAAAATCTTGTTTTTCATTCAATTACTGTGCCGAACAAAGTCATGTAATACATATGTATGTACATGTACAAATACATACCTACTGCTTTAGTAATCTAAATTGCAAAATCTGGGGAAGCCAAAATTGTTGTATGAAACACTCTCCATTTATTTGAAAGGATTCCAAATGTACATTCAATGTACCTACCTTTTAGCTCTGAACAGCCAGTAATAAAAAATCCTCCTCTCATCGGCCAAGCTTTTATTCTGGATATGGCCAGAACAAATGTTTTTATAGGGCAAATTCCTCATCAGTCATCACCAACTAAAATAAATGGTTAAGGTAAACCATCTCCATCCCAGGAAAAGAAGCACGAGGGGAAAGTTCATTTTTCCAACACTTATTTTTTTCCAAACCATGACTGTTTACATAAAATATTACAGTCACTCTCTTTTCCATATGATCCCCAATCCATAATTCTGAAGCAATAGTTTACATCACTCATTCCAAGCAGAATTAATGAAAAGAAGTGTTTGTAGTTATAGTTAAGTATTTATGAAACCGAATGAGCATATTATTATAGAACTATTGTCAATACCTCGAGGTGAATATTATTTGTGACATAATAATAATAAGTAATAACTATAATATACATGTTAGGAAATGTTTAGATAAATTGTACTACCTATTGGCTATTAATATTAATACTTGTTAGGGTAGAGTTGATAAATAAAAAAATTATGATTTAATTTAGATAGGTAACATTTTATTTTTTATGACACTTTTTAGGTCTTAGATCTTCAAGTAGTTTCAACAACACACAGCCAACTAGTAATATAAAACAGAATTATGCGGGGAAAATGTCATGGAAACTTGATTCCAATAATCAAATCATGATACATTATGTTAATTACAATTTGTATGGTGTAATTGCATTTTATGGTCCAGAAAGAGGTGATCTAAGACAGACGGATGGGCATTATGTTGCATATTGATTAAAGTCCAATCAGCAGTGGGAGTCTTATGATGATACAAAAGACCAAGTATCATTAATAACACCTCATTTAAAGTGAATGCTGAAATGTACCTGTTATTTTTGTCACATTATTATAATTTTAATTATTAAATATCAATAACATTTTTGTTATATGATATTATAATAACTGTTCTTATGAGTTAGGTATGTTTGGTATTACCATTTACCTAGGTATTGTATAAATTACGCATAATCAATATGGTATGAAATATGTTAAATATTACAATAGAAAGTATCCATAGTTAACCTACCTTTCAAAATAATTTAATTTTGTATACCTATTAATTGATCTTCACAATGTAAAGTATGTCATACCATTGAGCTTAAGTTATAATTATTTTAGATTTGGTACATTCAATTGTGGTAAAACAAAGACACAAAATACTATACATTTCAGTGTAAATATTATTTTTGTTTATTATGTGTAGATTCAAGCATTAAAGAAAAACATACCAATGTATACCGACATCCAGCAGGTGCATACATATATACCTACATTTGTTTAATCAATGATACAACTAAACAAAATATATAATATTAATAAAAACAAATAACAGTTACTTCCTAATAATAATTCACATAAGTGAAAAATTGAGGAAATCGCTCACTAGGATCGCTGTATATTAAGCATCGAGTGTACTT